TTAGTAGCTGTACGGCTACAGACAAGTCAATCCATAGAGTGGTAAGGACAGCAGGGAAAATCATCAGGACCTCTCTACCGTCTATACAAGAATTACATCTGACACGATGCCTTAGTAGAGCCTCCAAAATAATCAGTGACTCCACCCATCCTGCCAATGGACTGTTCACCCTTCTGCCTTCTGGCAAACGCTATCAAAGTATACGATGCAAGACTGCCAGATTCAGAAATAGCTTCTTTCCACAAGCTATTAGACTGCTCAATTCACATTGACATATACAGATATACTGGTTGCTGGACTGCTGAATACATAGGTATGGACTGATTGATTCATTTATGTTATTCTTCCCTATGCTGCTACCTGATGGACTGCTGTTATATATGTACAGATTGGTTGAATCATATATGTGGTTTCTTCTGTTCTGACACTTTTGAGCAGTATTGATTATGCACTCATAGTGTAATCATGTGCAATACATCCATTTTTGCACTACCTTAAGATGTATAGTAATGTATATGATGTTATTTGTTGTCGTGATTAGGGATGGGTATCGTTCATTTTATCGATACCGATACTGCTTATCGATACCGGTACTTATCGATCCTGTTATCGATTATATTTGGTGCAAAAAGATATGAAGTCAAAAGTTGTTGAAAATTTCAAGTTATTTTATTACTGCTGAACTTTAGCAACTCTATTAAAGTTCTTCAGTCAAGAGTAGAGAGTTATTTTTCTCTTTGTGTTTTATTTTATGAACATTAAAGGAAAAATTCACCCAAAAATGACAATTGTGTCATCATTTACTCACTCTCAAGTTGTTTTAAACCTGAATGAGTTTCTTTCTTCTGTTGAACATAAGTTATTTAGAAGAATGTGGGAAACTAAACAGTTGCTGGTCCCCAGTGACTTTCATATTTTTTTCCTACTATTAAAGTCAGTGGGAACCAGCAACTGTTTGGTTACCCACATTCTTCAAAATATTTTCTTTTGTGTTCAGCACA